AGGTATTACTTAAAACAGAGAGAACTTCAATGGTGACTGAAACATGTAAGAATAAATACATAGTTTTTTATTCTTGTTTTTTGGGGGTCATTCCCTCATATAAGCCAAAATGGCTTGTTCAATAGCCATAAATCTCATAACTTTTCTACTCTTTGTTCTGTATTGAAAGGAACCAGGGCTCACCAACCCCCCTTTTAGTGTGACTTCTCTATTTCTTGGTTTTCATTTTCACTTACTTCTCTGGTTAATGAAGCAGAAACTCTTTATCAGGATACCTCAGAGTTGTTGCATTTCTCAAGCTCTTTCATTTTTGTCATTAACTTTATATTTGTGTTACCTTTATGATGAATGAAATACTAACCAGAGTAATATTTGAGAATAACACTTTCCTTCAATACTTTGAAGATATAGTTCTATTACTTCACCTATGGATATTTTTGTGGAATATTCTGTTGCCAACCTGATATTTCCTCTTTTATGAAGTATTTCTTTCTCTTCCAAATGCTTGAGTAGTTCTCTTAAAGAGAAATATTAAATTGAAATTTTTAATAATTTAACAAGAATATATTCCAGTGTTGAGCATGTTGAATTATACTTTCCCAGAATCTTGCTTCTTGTTTTCAGATTTAATTTTTGCTTGATTTCGGGAAAATATTTCTTTGTTATCTTTATATTCATTTCCATTTTTTTTTTTTTTTTTTTTTTTTGAGTCAGAGTCACACTCTGTCCTCCAGGCTGGAGTGCAGTGTCATGTTCATGGCCACCACAGCCTTTACCTTCTGGGCTCAGGCGATCCTTCTGCTTCAGACTTCCAAGTAGCTGGAACTATAGGTATGTGCCACCATGCCCAGCTATTTTTAAAAGATACATTATAGAGAAAGATCTCACCAAGTTGCCCAGGCTGGTTTGGAACCTGTGTGCTCAGGTAATCCTCTTGCCTCCACCTCCCAAAGTGCTAGGATTACAGGAGTGAGCCACTGTAAATGAATAGAAATGAATTCATTTTCTATTAACACTTTTTGTGTTCTCCACTTCAAAAGCACCAATTGTCTTCATAGTGAGTTGTCTTTGACTACTTTTTGTTTCTATTGACTTGTTTCTGACTGTCTCAATTGCTGTATCTTTTCATTAGATTCTACTATGAATATCTAACTTTTCTTCTACATATATAATATGTTATAGTACTGTATCTATATAGTTCTTTTCTGTTTACTATTAATTATGTATTAACTCTGCTTATGTTAATAAGTACTCTAATGCCTGAAATCTTTCTTTTCATAAAACTGTATTATTTAATCACTTTATTTTTAAACTCTTTATTATTGAGTCCATTTTATATGGACTATATCCCCAAATACTTGTAAATAATTTTTTTCGATTCAGTTTATTTTTCTTCTTGAATTGGTAGTCTTTTTTTACATGTTATTTTTGCGTATCCCAAATCTTTTAATCCCAATCTCATAGTATAGTTTCCTTTGGTTTTTTTCACGATATATTTGCATGTGTAGCCATGTCTATTTGTTGCTTGAATCTAGTGTGACTGGTGAGGTGTTCAGCTGGGGCTGGGTGGACTCTTCCATTTTTTCAGTGTAGGTGAGGGAAAGTGAATATGACAGGAACCATTCTGATGGCAGGTCTTCTGAATGGTGGTGGCCCTTCCTCCTTTCTGGTAGCATCATACACTAAAGGCCTTACTTTGTTCTTTTGTCCCAATATCCGCAATTGTAGCTGTCACCTAAAGAAAGACCAGGTGCTACCACTACACACTGGTCTTTGATGTGCTTGGTGTATGTTGTGGTAGTGATTGGGGACAGGAATCATGGTTCACGCCTCCTTGCTGATCCCATAGTCATCATCTGGCTGGTTGTTTCTGAGCCCCCTCCTGGTAGAATCTACCATCTCTAGGCATATAAGCCTGAGGCTCAAGCCCCGGCAGTGTGGCTCCCATCTCCTGTGATTATATATCTACACAATTTCTTATGCAACTCAGATGTTCATGTTTCTATGCAATCCTTTCTCTCTGTTTTTCTTTAATTGTTCATAATTTATGGCTGACAGAACTGGCCTTTGATTTTCAAGGAAAGTCCTTTTATTTGTTTTAAAGTATCTTTTGTATCATTTCTAGAGTATTTTTTTTCCAGGAAAAAGAAATATTCTAAGTTTTCTAATTTTAAAACTGAAGATCAACCTATTTTAACTTACTAAGAAAGATATTAATTTCTGAGAGTTCTCAATAGACTCCCTAAACATGTTCACTCTGCCTCCTTCAAGTATTCTCATATTTATGATCAAGCTGAATGAAAGGGATATGGCACTGCACAGAGATTCTACAAAAGAATATATAAAGCTAGTAATGTTTTCAGTCAGTTATTTTCCTGACAACTTCTTTCCAGCTTTCGTGATACACAATTTCTTATGCATTCCACCTTGAATCACAACTTTAGTGATATGCAATTTCTTATGTTTAATCACAGAATAGTCAAGTTTTATTTGGTTATAATATGTTGCTAGTATCTGGGCCTCTAACAAAAACTGATTTCTTTCAAATGGACTGGCAGTTACTAAATTTCAACTCAATACTTTATCTTAAAAAAAAAAAAAAGAAGCCAGAGGAATGGAGGAAGGAAGTCAGAGAGGGTACAAGAGAGAAATAGAAATGAAAAGAGGAAAACAAACACTTGTAAACAAATTATACCATTTAAAAAGAGATATAAAGTCATTTCTTAATAGAAAGAATGATAGTTTAAGAAAGAGTCAAATGGCCAGGCATATATAAACCACATTATTCCTTTTAGATCAACCTTTTCCTCTCTTTTATACTCAGTGCAGATTATGGGGCAGGGGCCAGAGAGGGTTTGGGGTGGTCTGACTAAATACGACTTTATCTTTCTTTTATTTTATTTATTTTGAGTTGGAGTCTCTGCTGCCCAGGCTGGAGTACAGTGGCATGCTCATAGCTATCATAGCCTCCACCTGCTGGGCTCAAGTGGTCCTTCCACCTCAGCCTTCCAAGTAGCTGGAACCACAGGCATGTGTCACCACACCTGCCTAATTTTTTTATTTATTGTAGAGACGAGGTTTTGCCATGTTGCCCAGGCTGGTCGTGAACCCTGGGCTCAGGCAAACCTCTCATCTCTGCCTCCCAAAGTTCTGGGATTACAGGTGTGAGTCATTGCACCTGGCACAATTTATCTTTCTAAGTGGTAGAATTTTAGAGCTTGTCTAAATGTTGAGAAAGGGTGCTGGTGCAACCAATGAGGAAAAATGCAATGAATCTGATATATTTAGGGGAAATAATGTTATAGACATCAAAAACAGAGTTAGAAACACTGGCAATATGGGAAGGGTAGCTAGGTCAAAGTGAAGAAATAGAAGGATATAACATAAATAATATTAGGAGGGAAAGTAGAGAGGCTTCACTTATCACCATTCACTTCTGGGGCAGGTCTGTTTGTACCATGTCATTCTCAGGCTGTGCTGTAGAGTAATTAGTCTCAACATCTGGGTACCGTTGTTACCATCAAAGTCTCACTAGATTAAGACCCTATGATGCCAGGTTACAAAAACTTTTGTGAAAGACTTAAACAAAATAAGTGACATTGTGGTAATTGTTGTTTACATTACCTGAAAGTTGAAAAATGGTTTTAGGTTTCATCAAGATCTTTCTTCATTCTACCTTCTTTTGTTTTTCATTTCTCAACTTAGCCAATTTTTCGTTATTGTTGTTTCTCCCCCAAGAACTTTGGGTTAATAGTTTTTAGCCTGGCAGCAGAAAATATATGTGTTTAGGTTTCAACAAAAGTTCCTCAATAAAGTCTCATTAATCTTCTTAGTCCACATGCCATCTATGCATCAAGCATTGGTTTTAGAGTATATCTATCTGGTCCACGTGACTATCCATAGACTTCAGTATGGACAGCCCATTCTCCATACAGTAGCCAGAAAAATTACTTTGATTATGGTAAACATTGTTCAGTATAACCCTCCTCCCATGTGTCTCTCATTTAGATTTCTCATCTTTCTTAGAGTAAAAGCCAAAATGCCAGCCTTGGCTCAAAGACATCTGTTGTCTGTCTTATCTATTAGCTCTGTTTATGTTAATAAGGTCACTCTCCTTCTCCCTCACTCTGCTTCAGTCACCCTGACTTCCCAGATGTTTCTTGACCACTCTAGACAGGTTCCAGTACAGGGACTTTTTAACTTCATGTTCCCTCTGCTTGAAACAATCTTCTCCACACATATCCACAGGGCTTGTTCTCTAGCATCCTTAAAGTCTTAGTGAGTTTTTCTTTTACCTCCTAATTTGAAATTGAAGCTCTCCCTGTGTCCTATGTATGTACTAACCCCTTTCTTTGCTTTAGTTTTCCCAGGGAACTTACCACAGCCTAACAGATTGCATGTTTTATCTATTTATTCCATTCTCCACCTGTGTTACTCCAACTTCCACTAAAATATAAGATTTAGGAGGGCAAGCACTAGATAGGTAACAAACAGATAATAGGTATTCAGTAATGTATTCAATGTTTGAGTGAATGAATATAATTCTTTGAGTAGGGAACTTTGATTTTGTAAGGCTCAGCTAAAGGGGAAGTCAAAGGGTCAAGAACCATGAATACCATGTGCTCTATTATATAAATCTCCTGCTTATACCAGGAACTGTTTGGAAGCCTACTTTAATTGATAGCAGTTGCAATCTCTTTTTTATTCATCACTAATAAAACCAAAAACGAACTGTTTGTCATTTAATCTGAGTTTTCCTCTTCTCTTGCTTGAAAGATAAAATAAATGATGAATAAATGATACTTTTCTTACAGGGTCCTGAGACTATAAGTGAAAATATGCGTATAAAAGGAATTCATACAATAAAAGCACTGACGAAAATAATTATGATTGCAGATACTTAGTACCATTTTGTTTTTCCATATTTAAAATATAGCTATAATTATCCTGTTCAAGAAAACCAAATGCAAACCTATACAATTTGTTTTTGTTTTGTTGTCCTAGCTCAAGGGATCATGGACATTGAAGCATATTTTGAAAGAATTGGATATAAGAACTCTAGGACCAAATTGGACTTGGAAACATTAACTGACATTCTTCAGCACCAAATTCGAGCTGTTCCCTTTGAGAATCTTAACATCCATTGTGGGGAAGCCATGGAACTGGACTTAAAGGCCATTTTTGATCAAGTTGTGAGAAAGAACCGAGGTGGCTGGTGTCTCCAGGTCAATTATCTTCTGTACTGGGCTTTGACCACAATTGGTTTTGAGACCACAATGTTGGGAGGGTATGTTTATAACACTCCAGCCAACAAATATAGCACTGGCATGATTCACCTTCTACTGCAGGTGACCATCAATGGCAGGAACTACATCGTTGATGCTGGGTTTGGACGCTCCTACCAGATGTGGCAGCCTCTGGAGTTAATTTCTGGGAAGGATCAACCTCAGGTGCCTTGCATCTTCCGCCTGACAGAAGAGAGTGGAATCTGGTTCCTGGATCAAATCAGAAGAGAGCAGTATGTTCCAAACCAAGACTTTCTTAATTCTGATCTCCTGGAAAATAAGAAATATCGAAAAATCTATTCCTTTACTCTTGAACCTCGAAGAATTGAAGATTTTGAGTCTATGAATACATACTTGCAGGAATCTCCAGCATCTGTGTTTACAAGCAAGTCATTTTGTTCCTTGCAGACTCCAGAAGGGGTTCACTGTTTAGTGGGCTTTACACTCACATACAGAAGATTCAGTTATAGAGACAATACAGATATGATTGAGTTTAGGACTCTGAATGAAGAGGAAATAGAAGAAGTTTTGAAAAATATATTTAATATTTCCTTGGAGAAAAAACTTGTGCCCAAACATGGTGATCGATTTTTTACTGTTTAGAGTAGAAGTAAAATAAACTCTTGTGTATGTATCACCCAGTTCATAAATTATCACCTAACAGCCTATCATATATCCTCTATATCCCTACACTATTTTGCAAAAAATCTTAGACACTGAATAACTTCATCCATAGAATTGACAACATATATAGCTAAATAAATAATTTCTTTTTAAGAAAATATAACCACACGCCTTTTCAAGTTAATAATAACAAAGGCTTTTTGAAGATGGCCTGTGGTTATCTTGGGGAATCATAGTGATTTATCCTAGAGAACTTTTAATATTGATTTGTTGTCAAATTCATAGAAAATTTTTACTGATAGATGGGTAAATCAAATATTGTGGAACTTATTGTCTATGAAGTATATTAAAGCATTGTTGGCTAATATATTGTGAATCCGTTTTTCTTTGGGAGATTTAGGAAATTATGAGACTAGTTGATTTTTTCTCAAGTGAACTAGTGGTATAGACAAATGTTCACCAACAATCTGAGTTGGAGGTTGGCACTCGCTGAAACTTTCTTCCGTCTCATCCAAGTGATACATCCAGGTACACCCATTTTTCCTGGAAGGAGTTTCCTCTCATTTTTTAAAATCTTGTCTTCCAATTACATTCTTTTGCTTCTTCTTTCTAAATTTTGTCATAAGAGAAAGAACATGAGCTTCTCTTTGTAGAACTGAGTTGTAATCCTGTGGACATTGGTGAATTGCTTTTTTTTTTTGAGTTGGAGTCTCACTTTGTTGCCCAGACTGGAGTGCAGTGGCTGCTCCTGGCTACCACAGCCTCGCTTGCTGGGCTCGGCGATCCTTCCGCCTCAGCCTTCCAAGTAGCTGGAACTACAGGTGTGCGCTACCACGCCCGGCTAATTTTTTTGATTTATTGTAGAGGTCTCGCCAAGTTGCCCAGGCGGGTCTCGAACCTGCAGGCTCAGGCAATCCACTCACCTCAGCCTCCCAAAGCACAGGATTACAGGCTGAGCCACCGAGCCCAGCTGGTGAATTGCTTTTTATATCTGTGGCTCTGATTCCACAGAGGTAAAATGGAAATGATTATTACATAGGTCTATATTATTATACAGTCTAGGTCTCAGTGCCAGACCTAGAGTAAACTTCCAGCAAATATTTATTATATGAATGATGCATAGTGTCAGTAATGTTTTTGGTACTGGGTCAGCATTTGATGAAAATTCTTCTTCCTTCTTGCTTTATTTTCCTCCACATGTGTTTGTGCTTTCATCTTGCTTTATTTCCCTGTAGTTTGAAATCCTGGCCCCACTGTTATCTGCCTCCTCCTTCCATGATGAAATATTGATAGGATATCAAATGACCTGGATGTAACAATGTATCTTGTACTTCAGAATCTGAATCTTTACTTGTCTATAACTCAGACTTTCTGTTTGTGGATTCCAGTATCAGAGCCATCATTTAAACTGCAGACTTGTTCTTATATTACTGTTCCTCTTCCCACTTGTGATTATTGTAATAAATTTAAGAAAAAGGCAGGGATTAGAATAGAGACATTTTAGTGAGTAGAATAAGTTACAATCAAGCATGGGTATTTTATGTAGAGAGGTAACAGATGAGAGATACTAATGTGGTGATATTCTAGGAAGAGGTGGATATGAGAAGGAAGGAAGATTGAAAGGTACATTTTAATATTTGACAGTTTTCCATCTTTCTTACTGTATTGGCCATGTTCAGCTGTGCTGCTGTTTTGCAGCCATGTCAGGTCACTTCTGGTGCTCTTGGACAGAAAAGACTTCCTCACATTCTGACCAAGATCATGCTGATGAAGGAGAAGTTGCCAAGAAACACTGACTAGAAAAAAGTGTGACTCAAGGAGAATGATGAAATTTTGTACAAATGAGTCAATGAAGTTAGATTGCACAATGAGTAGCCTGGAACCTAATGCAATTATTTGTTCTTGAATATATCTACCACATAGGAAAAAATGCCAAAATATGTTCAAAGAGACTCAGAGATATAAAAATTGAGCTACCAGATTGAAGGCTTCTGCCTTTACTATGCAATGTTAACTTTTCTCAAGTGAAATCTACGTGAGTGAAGAAGACTTTCATCAATTTCTTTGGCCAGTCATTTTAAGTTGCCTCCTAAATCTTTGTCCAATCCATTGTCTCTGTTTGTGGTGGCCCCTTGGTGATGAGGATATTCTGTATCCTGTCAAAACCCCAAGACAAGTAAGGTAGAAGCCAAGCCCTCTAGATGTAGCTGGAAATGTTTGGTTGTTGAATGTGTATTCCAGTTCCTTCTATCATGGTGATGCTGAGTGTGGTTATTTATCTCCCACTCTCTCTACCAGAGAGAGAGAGAGAGAGCATGTTGCAAATGCCTATACTGGTTTAGATTGTACCCTTTGATCTTGGGGAAGTAACTGCCAGAAGTTGGCCCATTGTATACCCCCTGTTTATTTTCTCTAACCAGAGCTACTCAGGAATGCAAAGCCCCATTGACTCCTGGAACTAGGCTACAGCCATAAGGAGACAGTCCCTTCAGAGGAGGCTATATAAGTTGTGGCAATTGCTGTTTACATAAACTCCTTCCAGGAAAAACGGATGGACCTGAATTTATCACTCAGATGAGATGGAAGAAAGTTTCAGGAAGTGCCAACTTCTAGTTCAGATTATTGGTGGGCGTTTGTCTATTCTACTAGCTTACCAATGCAAGTTCTTTAGAAGTCAGGTTGTCAAGTTGCCTCTGGGAGAATGTGCAGTAAGCCCCTCCTGGAAAAAAATGGGATCTATGCATTCCAATTTGTTTTCTGTACGGTGCCCAGGGGGTGTAGCCTCTGGAAGTGCTTACATGCTCTTTGAAAACCACCCCTTTTTTCTGTGATCTAGAGACTGGCATATGCCAAGTCTCCTCTATACTTAAAGCTAAGAGGTTTAGGATGCAGTCCTTCAAGTGAAAGCTGTAAACTTGGGACACTCAAATGTGTGAACAAACTCTTTAAAAATTTTTTTTTTAAATTTTAATGATGTGGGGTACAATTCAGCATTAGGTATACAAGTGGTCATTGTTCAGGTAAAGTTTGGGCCTCACTTTGGTCCCCACTTTGCCTAGTTTGAGATCAGATACTATTATTGATGTTATGTGCCCTCCCCCTGCCTGGCAGTGTCCTGCTATTGCCTATCCCTTTCTTATAGTATTATGGTAAATGTGAATTAACTCTTTTTAGGAGTGATTAACAGACCTGAAGTTATCATGGGTGAGTTAGATGAGAAAACTTGAAAAGTGCAAATCTGCCTCTTAGGCTGCCAGTGGGCTACTGATTGCCCTGTCAGTACTCCTCAGTGCAAATTAATTAGAAACAAGGCCACCAGGTAGTCACTGGAAGAGTATGTCATAAGCCCATTCCAGTAAGAATCAGGGAGATGCATTTTTTTTTTTTTGCAATTCTTATTTATTTATTTATTTATTTATTTATTATTATTATGAAGTTGTGGGGTACAGTTAAGGGTTAAGTATTCAATTGCATTTCATTCAGGCACCCTGTTGATATGGGGTGTTTCCCTGTTCCCAGACAGATATTTGCTACTGTTAATCCCATCTTCCTCCCCCCCCATAGTTTCCCAGTACTGTCAGTCATTTTCTTGTAGTATTGCATTGGATGTTTAAGGTCCAATATATGAGTGAGAACATGTGATACTTGGATCTTTGTTTCTGTAAGAGGCCACTCAGTATTATAGACTCTAGTTCCATCCAGGTTGCTGCGAAATTCATGATTTTGTTCTTTTTTATGGCTACGTAGTATTCCATCGTGTATATGTACCACATTTTTTTAATCCAGTCCTCTTTTGACGGGCAGCATGGTTGTTTCCAGGTTCTTGCTATTGTGAACAATGCTGCGATAAACATGTGTGTGCAGGTATCTTTTTTAGAGAGTGATTTGTGTTCTTCAGGATATATTCCCAGTAGTGGGATTGCAGGGTCATATGGGAGGTTGGTATTTAGAGCTTTTAGGAATCGCCACACTGCTTTCCACAGAGGTTGCACTAGTTTACACTCCCACCAACAGTGTAGAAGTGTTCCCTTTTCGCCACACCCTCTCCAGTAGCTGTTATTTTTTGACTTGTTGATAATTGCCATTCTGACTGGAGTTAGGTGGTATCTCAGTGTGGTTTTGATTTGCAGGGAGATGCATTTTTAAAAGCCCCTTCTCTATTACTCCCAGATGATGAGTCCTCTGGAAAATACTTATGTGCTTGCATGAA